TCGCGAAAGCTTACAGTGCCAAGCTCTGAATAACTAGTATGTGGGAGCTAATTACTTTGATTGGCTGTACTCTTAAATTAATCCAGCCACACAGTAGGGTAGTTTTGGGATATACCAAAGGTTATAATGCTATATATAATATAATAAAACGTAATATGTTTCAGCTGACACTTGTATTGAGAGTATATTGTTATATGTTACTTGGTGAAAACATTTGTCTTCACTCAGACATGCACTAAACGCACGGCCAGAGATGTTTCCATCTCTTCGTGTGCAGTAATGTGAGTTACGAGGTGTAACTCACATTTCACCAAAAGGGGAACCTGGCTGATGGAAGTCTGTATTGGAGGTAATTACCTGGGTTAGGTTGGAGTAGCAGGTTATCTTGTAAAGTTTATTATGAAGTATTAATAATAGATGCCAAGGTGTGAAGGTAAGCTTAATAAATACGTAGGGAACACTTGTTTTAGCATTTCAACTTCTGTGGATACAGGCATGAAGTTCTACAGAATTAATCAGTTTTAAGCAGGGTTTTTTTAACATTTTTCTTAGATAAGAAAAATTGGTGTTAGGAAAATACATGGAAATTTTGCTGTGCCAGGTATAATGAGAGATTTAACTAAATCTGGAGAATTCCTAATGTTGTTGACAAAGATAATCCTGTGAGGGAAGATAGGGTGGAATGCACAAATACTGTAGTTTAGTCAGTTAAGTTGTCAGGTCTTTATTGTAATCAGCTTAAACTAATTTATTTGGAATTTAAAAATGGCAGACAAAGTTTTCTCCCAATATAAAACTTTTTTTTTAATATTGCCAGGTAAATATTATCTGAATAAAGTTGTAAAACTGGGGTTTATAGGTAGCCTTATATAAAGGGGTAAAATGGATTACAAGGATATTTTTATTATCATTATATTTCACACTTTGTCTTTCTGCAGAGATTCTGCAAGAGGATGTTCTCAATATAACATCTGCAGAGGAGAGAGAAACTATTCCCATTTTTCCTCTTCTGACTTCTACTCCAGTCTTAGGTTGGAAGACTTCCTCTCAGTAGGTGACACTTCTGGAACAGAGGAGGATACAGACTCAGCTATCTTATATGGAACTTTGCGAGGAAGTGTTGTTGGATTACGATACTACACAGGAGTTGTAAGTGCATGATAAATGATAACGCAGAAGAAAAAGTTGTTGTCAGCTTCAGAAAAAATACATTTAATTAAATTTCAAAAAATCCTAGAACTTTTAACCAAGCATAATTTTAATAGATTTTTTTTTTCTCTCAACTTGCTGTAGTCAACATTCTTCATGGGAACGTAATAAAGGTAGCAAACTTTCGAATCGGGTTTAGTTACTTGGTAGCTCTGCTCATCCCCATAAAGCAAATGAAGGTGACTGAAAACAAGAAATTGGATAGGTCTTTGAACTGTTTGCATGGACAAAAAGGGATGTTTATTCCCTTACAAAATGTGTTAGCAGTAGAAGGTAGTTCTTGCTCTCGGGAATACTTTTGAAATTGCTGACATCTATCGGGTGGCTCTTCTGTAATGCTTTTGGTATTTTGAGTAAGTAGTAAGTTATTTGACTGAATAAAGTGCTATACAAAATTAATCTTAAGCTTCATGATGTTTAAGTAAATGTCTATTAGATATTTCTGCAAATAATTTGCAACTAAATGAATGTGTTCTGGTGTGTGTTTGTTTCTTTTGCTTTGTTAGGTTAATAACAATGAAATGGTTGCACTTCAGAGGGAGCCCAGTAATCCTTATGATAAAAATGCAGTGAAAGTAAATAATGTGAATGGAGACCAGGTAGGCCATATAAAAAAAGAACTAGCGGCAGCATTGGCAGGCATTATGGACAACAAACTAGCAATAGTTGAAGGGTAAGTGTGAAGATTATGCTTTTGGTTCCATGAACATAAATAATGGAAACTTTTTTTTATTGCTACACTAACAAATTCTGAAAACTATTTGTAAGTTTTCTCTTTTGACAGTAATGACAGCTCTTGGTAATATGATTAAAGCTTCATGTTTTCAGACTCTTTATTCTTCTCTTGAACTACTTGCATACAGTTCATTCTTTCCCATATATGATAAAATGTAGAGACACTAGTGAGAGCAAATTCCTTAATTTAAAAGTTCCACAACAATCTTTAACTACATGTGGTGGTTTGTACAAAAGGTTTACGCAGTATGGGTAGTAACACCTATCTGGAACATTCTGTGTTTTGATGAAGATAAGCACTTTGGAGTACCTGCTGCTGAAGAAATAACAAGGTTTATTATAAAAAGTGAAACAATTAAAATATTACTGCTGTGGGGTTTTCATCAGGGTTGTCCCTTATGGAGCAAAAAACGCCTTTACCATGCCTGTGCAAATGAGCTTTTGGGGACGAGAGGAAAACAAGGAAGCAGTGCTAGATCAGCTAAAAAGGCACGGATTTAAGTTGGCTCCTCCTCTGAAAGGTAAGTCTTGAAGTTCTGGGTTTATACCTTTTTAAAATATTCAGATTGAACTTGCCATTGGTTGGAAGAAAAGTTTAAGGCCTTAATCCTCGTCATAGCTTGTCATTCACAAAATGATTTTTTAATTTAGTTGAGGAATAATGCAAAGCCCACAGCTATTAATTTTAACTTTCATAGGAAGTATACTTTTGTCCTATCTTTTATGTTACCTGCCAGCATTGCAGACGCGTTTGAGCAACCTCAGAAATATACTTGATTCTGTAAGTTCCTTAAAAATCAATAATGATTCCCTGCATTTCTCCAGACTTGAAAATTTATTTATTTTTTTACAAAATGGGTTAGACCCTTTCATGGGATGAGGGTTTCAGGGACAGTGCTGCTTTTTAGCAGAGCGCTAGGACGTGTATCCTGCTAGTGAGGTGTGAGCAAATAGACATGAGATGTCTCTGAACAAATAAGCTTAGCAGATCTGATGCTTTGCAGAGCCAACCTTGCACAAAAAGGACCTGTGGTCCTGGAACTAGGCTTTGTGGAAGCAGTGGTCGTCAGAACTAAGGATGTGTGCAGAAATAAACACTTGGTGGGGGATAAATCTATTTTACGTATAGCAAGATTTCAGTTTTTATAGGTTCTGTTGCACGTGGTTAACAGAAAAAGAGTTTGGAGTAAAAAAGCATTTTGTGTTATCAGGTATCGTACTGTTACCAAGTCAAATTTCATGTAACACAACAATTTTTAAGAAACATGGTTGCCATCTCGAAGGATCCCATAGCTCATTGCCAGTGAGTCTTACGAAGTTTTGTGGAAAGCCTTTGTGGCCATTTGAAAGTAAAGGGTAAATCGAGGCTAAAAAACAAATGGTGGAAGATACTGTCTTACAACTCACAACCCAATCAGCATTGTTACTCATGAGCCAGTGAAGGTTGAGATTGGGAAGTCATCATACCGTTGTATTTCAAATTACTGTCTTTTTAATGGCAAGTAGGTTCAGAATGTGGTTTTGGATCAAAGTGGATTTCTGGGAGATCTGGTCCAAGTTACAGTGCTCCAGTTCATGCTGCTGTGCAGTTGACGACTGAACAGGTTTGCATTTTATACTTAAACACCTGGAAGCTGGAATTTTAACAGTGGGGGCCTTTAACTTTTTCATTAATAAAGCAGTGCCTGTGAAGTGGGTGTCTTTTGCTTTGCTTTTTTTTTTTTTTTTTTTCTTTTCTGAACCATAGATTTGCTTTGAAGTCATTTTGAACTTTTGAACTTTTTCATTTTTATACTGTAAGCAGACATTTTAGCTGGGACAGCTTTGAGTCCCATGTAATTTTGGGAGGTTTTGGTTCTTTACTAATTTTTTTATATTGTTGTGGTGGTGTGTTTTTTCTTTCCTCTGTCCTAATGCTTTACCAGATAACAAGTATGTTAAGTTCTTAAATGAAAATAAAATTAGACTTCCAGACTTTATCTTCAGATTTTTCCCAGGGTGATGTGTGAAGGCTTGGAGGGTGGTTTGTTTCTGGTTTTGCTTTTTGTTTAGTCTTTCAAATTAGAGTGAAGTGGTTACTTTAGTGAGTGTTGTACAAGGATGTGAATATATTTAGCCATCCCTTCTCAAGCTCTTGCTTGTATTGGCGTGTGTTTGTTGTGGAAAAACTGAACCAAATTTTTATGTAGCCGTAGATAACAAACATATTCCAGCAAATCAGGTCTAAAGTGGTAGACCTATCTACTGATTACCATATGACAGGTAATTGTAATTTAATAGAGTCATTGATTATTTAATGGGGTTACTTTTAATTGCAATGATTTTAATTGCAATTTCTGTGTTCATTTATGCAGCTTAAAAGTGAATTTGACAAATTGTTTGAGGATCTGAAGGAAGATGATAAAACTTGTGAAATGGAAGGAGCAGAGGTATTTCTTAAGCTAGAATTTGTTTTCTATAAAAATATAAATATTTAAACATCTATATGCATATTTAGCTTTGTCTGGACGCAGGAGATGCTTGAATCAGAAAAAAAATTAGTAGATACAAAGGACTTTTATAAAAAAAATTTTTCTTCCAAAAATGGAGTGTCATGTTCAGTATGTGAATAGTGCATAATGTATCTCTTTAATTTGCAGGCTGTTGGCACGCTCTTGCTTCCCCATCAGAAGCAGGCTTTAGCTTGGATGATTTCACGTGAGAACAGTAATGATTTGCCACCATTTTGGGAAGAGAGAAGTAACTTCTATTACAATATACTTACAAATTTTGCAGAAAAGCAGCGACCTAAAAATGTTCTTGGAGGAATACTGGCTGATGATATGGGACTGGTAATAATGCTTACCAAGCTTGTTTTTTTTTTTTTTTTTTTTTTTAAATACAGAATGTGGGTGCATGTTTCTTGATTGGTTGGTAATTTGGTTCATTTTAATCTGTGGAAAATATGACGTTCTTTTTTGTTACGCAGGGTAAAACGCTTACTGTTATTGCATTGATTCTCACAAATTTTCAAGATGGCAAGCCTCTTCCTGTTGAAAAGATCACAAGTGATAAGTTTTTTGAGGTGAGATGAAAGACAAGGATTGTTTTAACAGAGTTAATATAGGAGTTAATTAAAAAAACCCTGTGCCTAGTAACTTTCTGTATGATGATCTTTGTATACATTTTGTGGAAAAAGTTATTCAAGTACATCAAGTAAGAGGAAGAATAGGGTAGATTAGTTGAAGGTAGGTGGACTGTATTACTTCAGAGTGTATAATTGAGCTGTAGACTCTGTCTTAGGAGTATATGCCTAAGTATACTACAAGGAAGAATTTATGAAGGTGTAAACACTTTCAATGTGAAGTTTTATAAATTCCTAAGTTTCTTATAAATTTCTACTATCGGCAAGTTGTGACTGCACAAATAGAAGCGGTGTTTTTTCTGGGGGTGTGCATGCATAGTTCCTGTGTGGTTTGGAGGAAGTGCCTGAAACGCCCAAAATAGCAAGCAGAGGGTCTTGGTATAAAGTACGTAAATAAATAAATCTTGGTTTATGGTTTTGCGAAATACTTGGAATGAAGAGAGGACACCGATGTGCAAACTCTTCTTGGGTAGTATAGTTCAAGTGCTTTTTACTTTCATTATGATATGATTTTCAAGATGATGAAATAAACTAAATGCTAAGATTAGGTGATTTATTATGCAATATTCCCTGACAGTATTAAGGCTGGGAGTTTAGTTTCATTTTACCATACTTGTCTAAATTTAACAAAATAATGCTTTGTCTTTGATCTCAGAATGTTAAGTGGGAAATGTTGTTAGTGTGTTTTCTTTCTAGGAGAGCTGTTTAGACTGAGTTTCTCTCCTCTACCTCTGCAATTTCATTTGAACACTGTGTGTGGCTACAAAAAAAAAAAAAGTATAGCTTTTTCAGCACCTTTAAGTGGCTGTCTGACTTGCCACTGAGCAAGTCTTTCATGTTTTGAAGCAGTAATTAATCATTGGTCAGATTGGTGTAATAAAGTTACTGGCTTTTTTTCCAGTTGTGACATTAAAGAATAAAAGTTTCCATTCCTCAATAGGAATCTGGTACTAACAGCATGAACAGCGTTGGACGCAGACTATGTAAAGGTGACAATAAAAAGTCCAGTAATGTTTGCATGATGATGATGTTATGTGGGATAGCCCGTGGTCTGTGCTAGTCTTCACGAACTCTTGACAAACTAAGTATCTCAGAGAATTATTTAAAGCACACCTTTAACGATGTTTCAGTTGACATATGAGAAGATTAAGTGCCTTGTGAGAGAGTTGTACCCTGCCAGGAAAGTTACCACATCCAGGAAATAGATTCTGGGTTCCTTTTGCTTTCCTTTTTCCTTCCTTGTAGATAAAATAGGAGCACTTATGCATCTGTTAGCATATTGTTTGTCTAAACAGTAAACAGTAGTTAAATTGTACTTTAGGTTCTGTATTAAGTAACTTTTTTTTTTAAATATTTTTAAGTCATAAGCAAATTACAAGTATTTAGAAGGATTTTATCATACCTGTGGTTTTCAGGTTGTATTGGTAGAATTTATAGATGTATATACAAAATTATACTTGCTGTTACTATGTTTTGTAACTCATCATGCTCTTGAATGACCAAAGAAATGTATGGAGCTTGAAGGTTTTTTGCAGTGACTTTCCCTCGCTGTCCTCCCATACAGTGAATTTTAATACAGATGGTCTAACTGATAGCACAAGAGAAATTAAAAAGGGACTGATAAAGAGAGAACACATTAGTATGAACTGTCTCTGGTAAAATTTGTTTTTATCAGTACTCTGGAAGGGAGAAAATGCAGACTTTCATGGGGGTCAGTACGACTGTCACCAGAAAATCAGAACCTTTACCAAAGCTGAAATGCCTAGCAGCATTTTCTATTTTTTTTCCCCAGAGCATCAAACTCTGATTTTAACAAGATAATATTTACAGCAGTGAGGGAAGAGCTTGTTTCTACTATTATTTAATCTGAACAAGTGATGATCATGTCTTTCAAACCCTTACGCCCCTCCACCTCCATTTCTCATTCTGTTGGACATTAAATTGATAACTATTTCTTGAGTCTTTGCAAGTTTTGCCATTTCTGGATTGTTTTAAACTTTTTTGATATTAAAAAAATAATCTTTACTGAAGTTTACATCTGGAATTCAAGCATGAATTTACTTACCTGAGTTATAGCAAAACTTTCTGCAAGTGCTGTTGCTTTCAGTTATGACTTCTACTCTGTCCTAATCCGTTTTCTTTTTTGCATTTGCTTCTGATACGCTGTTGGCAGAGTGATGGTTTATTCCTTATCTGATAGAAGACCTTAAAAACCCAACAAAACAACCCCCCGCAAACCTCTCCTACGCACATGTGATGTTACCACATTTTTCAGTTAATGTTGCTGTTATTCATCTAGTTTTAGGCAATGTAGAAATCATTAATTAGTAAGGTTTGACCCGTAAAAAACCCTTTACCATTTAGCATTGTTTAAAACTTCTTTATAGAACTTTACCCTTATTGTTAACAGTACAATGCTTACATTTGGTTTTACCTTTTTTCTTGACAGTTTGTTTTTGACCACCTGGAAACTCAGTACACTTTTTATGACTTTGTAAATATTTAAGATTGTTTTAAGAGTATTCTTATTTTTCATTTATGATCACAGTATTGGTGGTACTTGTCCTGTGCAGAACTAAGGTTGTTTTAAAGGAAGTTTGTACTTTTTCTTGATCAAGTTATGCTAAAGTTGGTTTGATAACCAAACTGAAGACTATGTGTATTTTTCATAAATACCAATTTCTTCTTTATGAAGACTCTAGCAATGTGATGGAACCTGGTGTTTCTGATGTAAAAAAGTTTGAAAATGCTCCACTGAAATATTCAAGTTGCCTTCCAAAAAGGTAGATAGCTGGAATAATATTTTTCTTTTTGTTGGTTTGCTACGTAGATTTTGGGTAAAAATAAAGTGGTATTTGGTTATGATTAACCTTAGCCTAAAATGTGTTCCTGCTCTCTCTTCACCTTTCAGTATGCTATATACTTCTGCTTACCTTTATCATAAGTGTTCTGTATCTGTGTTGCCCTTTGTATATATTAAACAAACATTAACTCATTCTCCATGGCTTGCATGACTGCATGCATGGATGTCTCCTTCAGTAGTAAAGGTGTCTCGTTAAACATCAGTGTGTGGCATCTAAAAAACTGGCTGTGAAGTTATCTTTCTTCTAGTATTATTTGGGGTATTAAGTGGTTAAGAAGTACTTTGCAGGCATGTTTCTGACAGAGACAGCTTTGAGCTGATGAAGTTGTGAAGCTTACTAATGTGTTGAACCTTCCCACCACACTAGCCTCTTATAATTGCTGTCAACTTGGGTAATAATCTGCACCAAGTTATACAAGCATCATTCACCCTGCAGCTTTGTGTTCTGTGCTTTCCTTTTTTCTGACCCTTCTAGAGAGAAAATTTTCAAATCACAGTGGTCACTTATTTGCTATATCAAGTTAATTTGCTTTATGCTCTTGAGATTTAATGATTTAATATGTAAATTCAAGCAGTAGTAGAGCTGTGGTTTGGTGGTTTGTGGTTTTGTGGACGTCTTTTTTTTTTTTTCCCCCCTCGTTTCCCCCTTGATGATATCTTAGAGATAAAGCCAAGAAACCCAGATACTCGGGAAGCAGTGACTTGGGAGAGTCTGAAGAACGGCTACTCCAACAAACAGAAAGTAAGTTGCAACGATTTTTTTTTTGTTTTAATTGTTACTGTGATACTTAGTGTCTTCCTTTCTGAAGCCAAACTGAAAAAGGATTTCTAATTAACTGGAAAAGAAGTTAATTACTTGGGGTTTTGGGGTTTTTTTTTTCAACCAAAACTTTAAGCAGAAAATTTTAGAAATTGATGAATAGGAAAGCAGTGTTTTAGTCCTAAGCGTTGTAGTTTGTTTCCTTAGCTGAAGGAGTGGTGGTGTAACAAGCCATGAGCAGGGTCAAACAGTGAAAAACAGAATTACTAAGATTTTTAAAACTTGACATAGGCTTGTTACAGGCCTAGGGTTGTCAGGGCACTAGGGTTGGAAAACCAAATTCAAAAAATTAAATCCATCTTTCGTGGTGAATACCTGAAATGTGATTCATGAAGAGGCAAGAACAGGTGTCATTTATTGAACTGAGTATCTTGCATGAAAAAAAAAAGGGGGCTACAAGTACTCTGGAGTAAGCAGTTAAGTTAAAGTACTTGGAGTGAAACCTGTGCTAAACTATTTTTTTAATGACTAGTGAACGGCATTCCTCTGAAGATTCAAAACCTGAAATAGATGTATAAGATACTATGTTTCTGCACACGAGCCTGTTAAGAGTTCAACTGCACTTAGCCATATGGTTTAGTTTTAGGTAGTCCTGCAATGATCAGGGAGTTGGACTTGATGATCGTTATGGACTCGAACTATTCTAAATTATTGTATTGGAGAGGAGAACTAATTTGGTTAACAAGTTTGACTTATGGAACGTGTGATAAAAATAAATGCTCGCACGTGCTCTGCATGGTGTGAAAAATCTGTGTTTGTCTGGCTTTTTGCAGCAACCTCCTGTGTTATCCAAGAAGATGCAGGCTTTGCATCTGTTCTTCTACCTTCGTCTGCTTGTTTAAAAAGACCAGCAAAGAGAAAAGGTAATGAAGGGATAAATAATAATATTAATTTCTGAGGTTTTTGAAGCTGAAGTATTATGCATATTTGACTTAAAAAATGAGGCTTATGTCTTTATAAATTGCTTTGATGCTGTTCAGGTGAAGAAGTTTAGAAAGGACTTCAGGGAACCATAAGTTTCTTGATGTTGGCTTTGCTTTAAAGTGAACTGTTACGCCACTAAGTACAACTTCTGTTTTCTCAGGTACCGCAAGCATTCAGTCAGTTGAGAAGAAATACGCTGATGGTGGCCCCAGAGCAACACTGATTGTATGTCCACTATCTGTCCTGAGCAACTGGATTGTAAGTGCTAAGCTGTTTTAATGTGTAAAAGTGATATATGTTGATCATGATGATGTAGAAATAGTACTCCCTGTAGTCTCACACGCTAGTAAAAGGTCATGGTTTTCCTTTTTTTTATGAAATAGAGCTGCTTTCACAAGGGAGTTTTGTTTGACTGAAATTTAAAAACTGGAGTGGTATTGTAATGAGAATGCAGTTCCATGAGCAGCAAGCTCACCACTGTCAGAAAGAGTGAGCTCACGTTCCGTTCCCTGCTTTTGACTAAGCAGGTTCACTTTGGCATTTCTGGAACTCATGTGATTTAACTCCTTAAACCAGACGAGGAAGGTGGAGGAGACAGGTCCTTCTTCTTGCATGCTCAGAATAAAATACTATCACACTTCATTGATAATGTATGTGACATTTCATTTACTAGAGGTGTTCAGTAATGTGGTGATCCTGTGGCGATTTGTGGGAGTAGGTCTGCTAGGGTGAACAAGCTGAAGGGCCCTTCTAGCTCTGTCTCTGCATTAGTTAATATTTTTTTGTTTTCATGACAATTTGAATGCAAGTATTAAGGGGACACCTTTAACTTTCAAGTTACGTTTTATTTGGAAGTTTTTGCTGTCTGTGGATAGAACATTAGTAAGAAAAGGAAACAATCTTAGACTGTAGGTAAAACATTAAAATCATAAAAGTGGGAAACATCAAATAGCGTAAAAAAAAAAAAGTGCTCTTCTAGTCAATTCAAAATACTGAATTAAGTATTGAAAAAGAAAACTTCTGAGTCTGGTGCTTCAGTAATCAAACTGTTGATTTTTATTGGCTGTCAAGATTACCGTATGCTTAGTGCTTCACAGAACAAACGTAGAGAATATAAACACTGGTTTTAAAGTGAATACTTTGACAATTGTGCAGTCATATATGTTAAAACTTAGGTGGTTAACCCAGTAAGGGGAAGAAGCTGTAAATGAACAATGAAAGAATATACAAAGAGAAGATGAAGGTAGAAAGTGAAAAAGAACATAAAATCCACTGTTCCTCCCAAACTGTTTTAAGTGCATATACCATCAGGATGTGAATTAATACTGTGCAAGAAGTAGAGCTGGAGTTAACAGAATGTGATACTGTGTCTATTACTAATGACTCAGGTGACCAATTCTGGTCCCTCTTCTCACCTGGGTGAAGAAGTAAAAAGAAACCCAAATTAAAATTACTTTTGTTATGTAAGTGGATGAGACTGTCACAGAGCTAGAGGAAGTGGTTTTTAGTTAAGGGAACTTACAAGATTTTTATTCTAACAATCATGTACTAACTCAGGATCTTTTGGATGACTTGTGACAACTGTTCTTTCAGGACCAGTTTGAACAACATATCCACCAAGACTTTCATGTAAATATTTATGTTTATTACGGTTCTGACCGTAACAAAGACCCATCAGTTCTTTCAGAACAAGACATCGTACTGACAACGTATAACATCTTAGCTACTGATTATGGAGTAAGTAAATGAGAAAAAGTGTTCTTTGAAGATCTCTTACTATTCAAGGTGTCCAGTGTTTGCGCTAATGATGACAATATATTCAAGTGCTATTCTGGTAGGCAATCAAAAAGTTACAGCTGTAGTTTAGCTTTACATACTTTCTTATAGGTTTGCTGTGGTAACAAAGGGAGGTTTCTATTGATTGCTCCTGTAGAGAAAATAATTTGGCTGCACAACAGCTTAAGGAAGAGACTTTTTAAGGATTAGGAAAGGGTGGCAAGTATGTAAATCTCCCCAAATCTCAGTGGCATGAGGCTCCCGTTTCTGCCTTCCCTTATCAAAATCAAAGAATATGGAGCATATAAAAACATAATTCCATAGTTATGTTGCACGTGGGCTCCACCAAGTATCTCATTGCATAAGGTGTATTGTAAAGTGATGTTTTCATGGAAATTCCAGCCATTTTAAAAGCCTGAAGATTACATCTTTAAATATAATATAAACTTTTAATTTGCTCGCTGATCCATTTTCCATATCTCTGTGTCTTTTGAAGCCTTTCTTCTTTTCAGGCTTAGCTTATTTTTGCTGTAGCTCATTCCTCATATTCAAGTATGAGAAGACTGGTAACATTTTCCAGGAATCATTAAATCTAAAAGAAGGAATGCCTCATTCTTAGTTTTGCTCTTCTGTGCCGATGCGAATAAATAGCATACATTATTAATTGTGGAATTGTTATATTAATAGCTTGCTTAATCCAAATTGCAAAAAAGTATTTTAATTTGAGTCAGAGATTAAAAAAATACTGTGTTACAGATCAGAGGTGACAGCCCTTTGCATAAAGTCAAGTGGCTGAGAATTGTGTTGGATGAGGGGCACACTATACGAAATCCAAATGCTCAGCAAACTAAAGCTGCCTTAAATCTGGAGGGACACAGAAGATGGGTACTTACAGGTAAAATATTTGACACCAAAGGGAACGCAGTGCAAATCGTCTTAGTATAACACCATCTTGTGTTTCCCGCTTAGTGTTTCCACTTTGGCTTTTTCTGGGAGATGGATAATGTCTGTCTGCGTCAGATTAATTTGGAACGTTTTTAAACTTGGTTTTGAGCAGTGATTTAGATGTGTCTTCTTTTAGTTGTTTTTTATTTTGTTTGCTTGGTTTTGTGGTTTGTTTTTTGGTTTGGGGGTTTGGTGGGTTTTCTTAGATTTTTATTTTATTTAGTTTGCGTACACAAATTTTAAAATAACTTTTGATGCACAGGTTTGGTGGAAGTGCAAGTAAAAACAGACCTATTTATGAACTGGCATGTTACGTCTGGTTAGAAGCTCACACTCTTACATACTTACTTGAAATTCAGTAGCTTTTTGAAATGTAATAGTCATCCTAAAAACTGCCAGTGACCATGCAAGCATATGATCCTTAAATGTAATTTAAAGAAGATCATGATGTAACCCCTGCTGGTGAAGCTGAAATGGAAAGACTAACATCCAAGTCTTCCTAGCACTGAGAGCTGCAATTTTCTCGCTCTTACATATTTAAGTGTTTTGTAATACTTTATTTTAAAAAATAACATGTATTGTACTTAATGACATGTCAACCTAGTTATGAGAGACCTTGTCCATAGTGTATGGTTTGGAGAAAGCACAGAACTTTGACTAAAAATTTGTATTTTCTAGTTTCTTTGAGGTTTTACAATCCTTTTTTGTGTGTTTGTTTTCTGTTTAGGCACTCCTATTCAGAATTCTGTAAAGGATTTGTGGTCTCTTATTTCCTTCTTGAAACTGAAACCTTTTACTGATCGAGAGTGGTGGCACAGAACAATTCAACGTCCAGTCACAATGGGAGCTCCAGGAGGACTTGGGTACGAAGTGTTCCCAAAGGGTTTGTGAACGTGTGTGACTGGCAGTGCTTGGGCTATGTGACAAATTAATGTTTCATGTTTAAAATTGAAATGCGTGTGTCATCAACTCTTATTTCAATTTTTAGTTCAAATTCATAAATATTAAATAATTCAAATTATTTAATATTTCAGATTAATGAATTATATTGTACTACTGGGCTTGGATTTTGTAGGGAACGTGTATTTATGCAATAGAATGAAAAAAACCCCAACCAACAACCAACCCAACCCAACCAACCCCAGCTGGGTAATATATTATCTATATATGTATTTTTAGGCGTTTACAGTCTCTGATTAGGAGTATTACCCTTAGAAGAACTAAAACAAGTAAAGTTAAAGGAAAACCCATTTTGGAGTTACCGGAACGTAAAGTACTTATTCAGCAGGTTACACTTACAGAGGAAGAGAGACAAATCTATCAGTCTGTGAAGAAGGAGGGCAGAGCTGCTATTAGCAGGTAAGTAGAAGCCTTTCTTAATCCTGAAGGTTGAAGTTTGATACCACAAACTTCTGTTTTGGAAGTTTTGATTATGTTAGCTCTAGTAGCCAAGTGTGTCAGTTTGTATGCTGTAAATTAATAATTGCAAATTAGCATAGCATCTGTTCAATTCTGAAGAGTCAAGTAGAGACTGTTGCAGAACTATATATTAGAAGTTCTGTCTTGTGAGAAACAGAAAGGGATACCAGATACATAAAGAATGGCCTTAAGATTTTTGTCACTGTTTGTTAGCATTTCTTCTAGTAGAACATGCTACTGGTAGCATTTTGTACCTTGTTTCAGATGAGGATTTGAGAAAATATATTCAAACAGGAAAGCGAAAAATCACAATATCATTCTAACAGATAAACTTGATCACTTGATGTCACCTTGATAGGACAAGGGGTAATGGGTTTAAGCTGAAGGAGGGTCGATTTAGACCGGATGTTGGGAACTCTTTACTGTGAGAGTGGTGAGGCACTGGAACAGGCTGCCCAGAGAGGTTGTGGAGGCCCCTGGATCCCTGGAAGTGTTTAAGACCAGGTTGGATGAGGCTTTGGGCAACCTGGGCTAATGGAGGGGGTCCCTGCCCGCAGCAGGGGGGTTGGAACTGGATGATCTTTGAGGTCCCTTCCAACCCAAACCATTCTATGATTCTATGATCTGTGCTTCAGGCTGTAGTACTTCACGCTAACAATAACACTCTCGTTCAGATTTTTCAGTGAAGGGACTGTACTAGCTCACTACGCTGACATCCTTGGTGTCCTGCTCAGATTGAGGCAGCTTTGTTGTCATCCTCGTCTTTGTATGAATACATCTTCTAGTTTTTCAGCTGGTGAGTGAATGCTTTTGGTGGTTCCTGTGTTTCTAAAAACAGGACTTGCACTTTGTATTCAAGAAGAAAAACACGTTTGTGTGTTTTCCAAGCTTTCCAGCTTCAGCCTTCCTCTTTTCAGCTTGGATTACTGACCTTCTAGCTTTGTGACCTTTATTTTTTTTGTACCATGATATGTTTGAATATGTTTGAGAAATGGGTACTCAAGCACATACTGAAATATGAACAAAAGCAATGAAGTATGAGTAGTTACAAAGGCTAGAAGTGGGAGTTAATAAGCTTTGACAGCCCATACAGAAATGACCAAAGAGGACCTCTGCAGAGCAAAATGCAGAAGGCTTGTTAAAAAGCAGTATATCTGCTGTTGTAATAATTTACAGAAGTGGTTTTACAGGAAATATTTTTCTTTGCCTCAGAAGAGAAGATGTAGAGGAGCTTTGGGGAATGGCTTGTAGATTGGTAGCGTGTCAGCAGAACCATTGCCTCTTCAGCAGAATAGGAAACTGTTGACTTTGTTATGGCTGTAACGAAGGGTGAACACAGAGGAATGAAAGGAGAATGAAACTTTATTTTTGACAAGCCAGAACTGTACAGCGGCATGGTGTTAAAATTAAAAGCATTTCTTTCAGAAGAAAGTATAGTCTGTTTGAAGTACTCTACATTTGAGAATTCTGAAATGTAAATATTTTTAAATCCCTGATTTTGAGATGCAATTGCTATAGGTGTGATTTCTCAGGAAACCAAAAGACCGATAAGATAGGGTCATAATCTTTTTTAGAAGGTTGTCATTTATTTTCCTGAGAAATACAGGAAGGAGAAATTATTGGATCATTGTTCAATAATTATTTAGAAATTAATTAGTAAGTTTGATTTGAATTTCTTTACTTGAAAAATAAAGCGATCTTAACTATAAATAGTGTCAACTCCGTAATACTGTTGATACTCGATCAGCTGCCATGTGAAAATTGCTTGTTCCCATTGTGTTGCGTGTGTACTTATCACTGAGCATGCAGGTGAGGTTTTTTGAATTCTAATTAACATTTTTCCAAGTAAGATTACTTTTCATGTGTTTTGAAATCGTAGGTTGGAATTTTCTGTAGTGTTTGGCAGCTTGTGTTTTTATCTGTTGTAGGCTATATCCTCATTATGTATAAACTGTCCTAATTGCATTTTGATCAATGGAATTGTGTTGATGTGTGCCAGCTCAGTGTGTTTCCTATATGGAATTCTCTGTTTGTAAGTATCTCTCCATATTTGCAGATAATAAAACTCCTGAAGAACTGCATGAGGCATTAGTGAGTAAAATGAAGTTGGTTCTTAGCTCTGGTTCGGATGAAGAATGTGCGGTGTGCTTGGAATCACTGACTCTTCCTGTGATCACACGCTGCGCGCATGTGTTTTGTAAGCCATGTATTTTTGAAGTCATCAGAAGTGAACAGGTTGGTTGTTCTATGGTTACAGTTAATTGTAATAGCTGTTCAAAAGCAATGAACTGGTTATCACCAGACGGCCATCTAGCTATTGTTGTTTTAAATCATAAATGGTGAACAGTGTAAACCTAGTTATCAACTTGGTTATAAAAACTCTTGGCCTGAAGTCAAACTATGGAGAGAGTAGCTGTCAAACTGAACAGTGTTAAGGTCCGTCGGTATTTTCAAAAACCTTTTCCCTAGTTCTCACCTTGGTTTGTCCCTAGGGTAAAAGCGATGGCATCAGTGCAGCATTGTATACCTCCGTATGGCTGGATGCCTTTTGACGGCTTGTATGTCATGTGATGCATATATATATTGTTGTGCTTAAAAGAGACCAAAGCTGTGTATTGGAAGTTGACTGTTGAGCTAAAGTCATGTCTACTCCCCTTATTCCATGCTGATAACCACCTATGGTGAAATAGCTGCCTTGCTAGAGGGCCATCTTTACAGCCTTTCTCTGGACTGCAGAATAAGCTTGTGGATGAGTGTCTTTTGATTGCTTTTTTGGAAAACATATTTATTTTTCTTGTGTGCTTCTAAGCTATACTTTTCCTTCTCATTTGCACTTTTCTTTCTAGGGCAATCTGATAGTTTGGTAGTCTCACCATCTGTATCCAGTGCTGCTGCACTTCCTCTCTGGAATTGTTCTGCCTCCTACTCAGCCACAGTAGAGCTGCAAGTGCCAGGCTAAACCTAGGTGGTGTTCTTTATATGAGGCTGCAGGGAACAAATGAGTTGCTTGTGCATAATCAGTCAACCTAACAAGACAAAGGTAGGAAGTGTTGTCTGTCTGGCATGTAGATTGACTTTGTTTCGTTGCCAGACATGCAAGGTTTTGATGCAGATATCCCAGTTGAGAGTTTCTGAGAATTTTGAGGAAAAGTAGTGATGTGAAATTATTCTCTAAGGAAAGAGCACTTGCAGAGCCTTTTTCCAGTGCAGAGGTTCTTGATGTGTCTGCAGCACAGTCGGTGCCCCTGACCAACCTTCAGGTGTATTTAGGCATGCAGAGAAAGAAATTGGGTTACAACGTGATGGAACCTGTATTACTTGACTGTACAGTCAAATTATTTACTATGCTTTGCCTAGAAAGGACCTTGGAATCTGCAGAACTGGGGCCTTTGTCCTATCCCACATCGTTCCATAGATTGCTTTCATAGTAGTGAAGTCTGAACAGAGGTGGGTGTAGATTCTGCTCTTTTGAAGTTAACTATCGTGAGTTTATAAAGCAGTGGGTGAGTAAGCCTTTTTTTACATTCAAAATGATTCCTGATTTAAATCATTCCCAAGGAAGTTTTTGCAGCTTCCAGCCAAAACGCTGACTGACATCTAAATTCCAGAGTCGGGGAATTCACTGTTACCACATGATAGGTATTTGTCCTACTACTGGATCTCAGTTGGGTAGTTCCCGTGCCTGAATGGTTAGTTACAATGCAACTCTCTCCTAATAAATAGCTTAGGAAAGTACTTTACTTACCACCTTTAAAACAAAGTAAACCAACAAACAGATACCTCCTCCCCCAAAACTGCTTGGGTTCAAACAGGATTCTTCCAGCAAGAAGATGCCTCCTGTTTCCATTTTTAATACAAATGAGAGCATTAAGCCATCAGTGAGGAACAGAGGAGGTGAAGCTGCCAACACAAAACTGCTGAATGAAAAGTTTGGCCTTTCCTTGTATTACAGACTTGCGGATCATTTTATCTTTCTAATGTTAACCTAACAGTATTTACTGAATTTGGAAAAAAAATTTAGTAGTTAACAGCTTGAGAGTTAACACCTTCTTCATTTCAGTCTTTACACAGAGCTGTGCAATTAAGTAAAGATCCTATGCACAAGTCCCAATAAAGCTATAAAATCTTTACAGTAATCTAATGTTTTTGTGTGTTAACTGCATTCTTGTAAAAGCTTGCCAGACATGAATTCAAACTTTTTTTTTTTCTTTTAGTTATTGATTGCGAGACACTTGTCACTTCCATATGCTTTCACTGCAACTCTTCTGTATCTGTGTTGGCATTGTTTAGCAGTGTTTTGGGTTTTCTGGTTGTTTTTAATTACAGTACTAAATTGGAGAAGGGGTGCAGAAAGATGTGAGCCTTTTATTAAAAAAAAAACCAAAAAAACCAAAACAAAACCAAAAGTCTTTATCTGCATTGTTGGATTTTTTTTTTTCCCCCAAAACTTTTTCAGATTTATTAGAATTCATTTATTTTGTCTCATCATTGGAGGATTTTTGGATTGTTGCCAGGTCAGGAATGGTTCATCTGTAACTACATTTTAGAGACTGTTATTTCAGATTTGTTTGTGTTAATGTTCTGTCTCTTGAAAGGATATCTTTACTGCTGCAATAAATTCATGTATGCAGACTATGACTGCCGGCCTCTTTAATTGGCTGGAGTTTCATTCCAGATTAGCAGCCCCCAGTATTCATCTGCTTTGTGAGGTTTGCTTGGCTGCCTTTCTAAAGATGCCTTGGTTCTGTGGTCAGATTGCTATATAAACTGAGTTAGCTAATTTTAAAGGGTTTCTCTGTTCGGGAAAAGTTTTTGATGTCTGTCATTTTTGCATCACAAAGTTGTGTTTGTATAGTGCACATAGTCTTTTGTTAAATTTTGTGAGTAGTCCTATGGAAGTGCTATTGTATAAATTCTAAACTTTGCCTTACCTAGAGTATGCTTCAGAGAAAAAAAGCTTTTGGTGTTAAATTATGTCTCATTTCTCATGTCTGTTGGGGAAAAAGAGAAGATACCCTGTGTCTGGCCCTGACAAAGCATGTTTCATCAGACTGCTATTATTTCTGTGCAGGCTTTGGAGAAAAAGGGCAAAAGGTCATTCTTTGTTTGTAACTAAGAAAGATCTTGTCTTTGAAAGATGGTTTATTTTTCTGATATTTTAAATAGTCTTTTCCCACAGCCCAAGTATTTGCTTGCTTTTACATCTTGAGCTGCTTATTTCAAGTATAAATATGCTCAGAAAGACTACTTTTAAGGAAGGCTGAGTGTTTTTAAAACATGTAGCATTTATGTCACCTTGATGTTCTCACAAAAAAAAAATTTTAATTGTTATGTCAGAAATGATAAAGCAGTGTGTTACAAGAATGAATGTACTCCTTGAAGATTTTTTGGTATGATCACAAATATAATAATTTCATAAAAGGTGCTTTGTAAAGGTGATCTGTAGTACTCAGTAGAAATAATTTGATTTAATATGTTTCTTCTAATGTTATTTGGGCTTTTTTGTAGCCAAACGCCAAATGCCCTCTCTGTAGGAACGAGCTTCGAGTAGAGCACTTGGTGGAATGTCCCCTAGAAGAGGAAGCAGACTCCACTAATGGAAAGAAGTCTGATCCGGAGTGGATATCCAGTTCAAAGGTACATTCCATTGTGGTTTACTTGGCTTTCATTATGGTTTTGTAGAGCGCACTCTAGAATTTTTATGTAAATACGCTGAACATACTTTACATGTGCATAGCATACTTTAAATTATTGTTTAAAAGTCTGCACAGTGCATCTAGTCAGCACAGCAGAAAATGCATAATAAAATCTCATCACAAACAAATTTTGCAACAGGGAAACAAGACAAAAGGAACACCACGTGTAATTTTATGCTCGTCATTGTGCAGTACATAGAAATGTATTAGTTAAATGAAACTTGTGGTAAAGAGCTGTTGCTTTGCCTTTTGTTTCTGTTTCTGCAGATAGAGTAGTTCTATAACCACTGACACTATTCAGCTTTTAATTTACTTTTGGAAACTAAAAATCTAAATAAATCTTTCTGTCTTAAAACTTGTCTAAAGAATATAGATTCTGCTCTAGAGGGGAAAACTGAGTGGGCATCATATGTTCAGTATAAAACTTGTCAGAGAAACTAGTGGATATTTTTATTTTACTTTGCAGACCTGTTCTCAAGGTCTGCCACGTTGTTTTTTGCCTCACCTTCATTGTGCATTTGCTGCCAGAAGTTAAATCTTCCTGCTTGTACTTTGACCTTTTTGAGATTGCTTTTCTGAAACATTACATTTTTAATTTTAATTAAAGTAATAAAGTTGTTGTTCTTTCAAAGTTGGTTATAAATTTATTCCCTAAAAAATCTTCCTGTGGAGACCTAAGAACTACTTTAGGACATTGTGCTCTAGAATAAATTTAGATTTAATGGTTTTTCTTTTCTTTTCTTTTTTAGCTGGTGCAGTTACTTGCATTCTCTAGTTAGTGGTTCTTTACCTCCTCATAGCTAAACCTTACATGAGAAAACCGGCAATGTTCTTCTGCCTCAGATCCAATTCCTTGCTCCTTTTGTTCTCACATTGGTCCCAAGCATGCTTCTGGTGCCTCCTTATCCTCTGTTATACCTAGCCAAGGGTCTCGCATAACTTATTTGCCTGAATATTCCTGGGGGAAGCCTTTCTTGTTTCTTGAGTATTACTACAGTAAAGCACTTACCTTGTGGCTGTGCCTTCCTTAAGCCTTACTTTTCAGAGTTCCAGTACTCTGTTCCTTTTTTCCATATGCCCTGGAGGTAGGGCACTTGTTGACTCCTGACAGTGAGAAGTTTGTCTGGGAAAGGGGTTTGTGAATCCTCTTCCCCAAAGCACCGTCAGTCACCCTGTAGTTTGTGACCATTAGAAGTGCTCACCCCTTATTTTCCTTTGGAAAGTAAAAGAAACCCTACGCACAGAATTTAAGATTAGTTCCTTTAAAAGTTATTACTGAACGGTGATTTCTCAATTGATGTGAAGTTTATCAAAGTACCTGTAGGAGTGGAATCTAACCAAGTCAGAATAAGCTGCATAAATCTTCATTTGATTTCAGATAAATGCTCTCATGCATGCTTTGATAGAACTACGGAGGGATAATCCAACTGCTAAATGTCTGATTGTTTCTCAGTTCACAAATTTCCTGTCGCTGATAGAAAATCCCTTGAAGTAAGTAGTGCTGTCATTTTTTAATAAACACTTCTTTTATGGTGTTTTAGAAAGATCTCTCAAAGAATACAGTATCCTTTTGATTTTTAGAACTTCAGAAGAGGAACAAATTACTTGAATACTTTGTTGAGTGAAATAAAGCCATGAATCTCTTTCTTGTTATTTTTAATGTGTCACCTGTTAAATGCAGAATTTTAAATACGCATCTCAAAGTAGAGGTCAGGATTTTAATGTATTTATTTCCCGTTGTCACAGAAGAAGGGTTGTTAAATCAAACATTTTTACTTTCTCTTCAGAGAATCAGGATTTGCCTTTACTCGTTTGGATGGGTCAATGGCACAGAAGAAAAGAGTAGAAGCGATTCAGTGTTTCCAAAGCAGCCAAGCAGGATCCCCAACTGTAATGCTTTTGTCTCTGAAAGCAGGTGGAGTTGGATTAAATCTGACAGCAGCTTCCCGAGTGTTTTTAATGGATCCTGTGAGTAATGGGTTGTTCATAATGATCTGGCTTAATCTAGGTGAAGCTCCTTTGGTGTTTTCCGAAGAGGTAGAAGGAAAGCCCCTCTGAGAATGAATGACACTGATGAGTATCTGTTAAAGGGCAAATAGGGCTTTTCTTCGTTTGTTTCCCTGGCACGTTTTTGTTTTAACACAGTATTTTTGTGCTGTCCATTTATTTACTGTGAATGGAAAGAATGCTAGCAGTACTATTAACATTAAGTGGTGTGACACCTTTCAATGTAGCATTTGATACCTGTTCCTTCTTTATTTCTTTCTCTTTCTTTCTGATACTTTTGATTGCAGTTTTCTGTTTGTTCTATTTAATAACTTCAGAAGCCATAAAGTGGAATTTCAGAAACTGTATGGTTTTTTTTCCTGTGTTACAATGCAGTGCTTCTCTGCTCTAGTCTCTTGTATTATTTTTTGTGAATTTATAAATAAAGACATTAGTCTGAGGTTACTTTTTGTGGTTGTAGGAGAGTGAGATGGTGATATCTAAATTTAGGAAGTTTTTTCCTTTCATTAAAACACTCAGGAATGTGAAATTATTTGTAAGGAATAAACCTGTAAATTACATTTATTGATAGCAAAATTATATTCCTAACAGAATTGGTTCATGCCTTGTTGTGTCATTGCACAAAATTTTTCTCTTCACTTTCTCCATTCCCTGCTATTTACTCCTCTGCTCTGATGTCCTAGTTTTTTGGCAGTCAGAAACTGAGGCAAATTCTGCAGTTTGTGCACTTGCAAACAAAACTAAAGTAAATTAAAATAGTAATGTGGCTTTGGACTTGGGCATCTGTTAACACCAATAGTACAGAAAAAGTACTAGCTTGGACATCAGGTTAATGATAATAATAGCATGAAGACAAAAGGTATTTACTTAATAAATTAAAGGAATTAAATATGAGTGAGAGTATGAAGAAGTTGCCTTGGAAAAAGGTTTTTCATTAATTGTGATACATCTTCACAAGTATTGTTTCTGTATGTGTTGCATTGAATAGTTCAGTTGGAAGGGACCCACAACACCACTAGTCCAACTGCCCTTTTTTTTTTTTTCTTTTTAAACAATTCTCTGAATAAGAAAACTTGTGGAAAGTCCAAGAGAATTTTCATTTTCTGTGAAGACAATTAGTGAGGCATAATGCATACACTGTCCTGCAGCAAGCAGTTGTCCAGAGCCAAATATAATTGCAGCCTTTATACACCATTGAAGAACTTTTCCTCATCCTGCCGGTAACCACCTTGTGATGGTAACCATCCCAAGTGGTAGTGGTTGACTCTTTGTATTTGATGAAGGGGCAGCGGGACTGTATGATCCTTTATGATCTCACTTTTCAATATTCAGTGCCGAATGAGATTCGATCGTGCATTAGCATTCCTTGAAGTGAAATAGCAGCAATAATAGGATTTAATAAGCAGAAATACCTCTGGAGCCAGTGGAATAACCAGTTTTTCTGCTCAAATTATGTGGACTTGTTGTAGAACTGTAGCTTAGAGATCCGCATTCTGTCTCTGAGAGGTGTTAAACCACAGTGCAAGGGAGGAACGTTTATCCAACCGTAGTGTACTTCCTCCCCTGTCTACCCCCCCCCCTTTTTTTTTGGTAATTGTTTGTTTATATATAGTCATATCTGCTGAATTCTCACCTTTAGGAAGAAATACGAACCTTTTATGTGAGAGTATCACAAGTATATAGATGTTTCTCTGAGGCTCAAGTTTCTTCATGTTTTCCCATGTAAAATATAGTACCCTTTGTATGAGATACTGCAGAAAGGCACAGAGGTAGCTGCTATTCAGTTTTCCTTTGCTGGACTGATGAGAGAAGAAGAGTGAGAGTAGTACACTGGTCCTCCTCGACTACAGCAAAGATAGAATGGAACATGCTTGTGCATGTTTGGGCTAGGTGTTTCCTCAAGACATTGTCTTGTTTATACAGTCAGATCAGTATTAGATTGGTTTGCCGTACATAGCTTGCCAGGAATGTTCATCTTGCAGTGACAGATAAATAATTTGTTACATTTCTGCTGGCTGCCTTAGATTGGAGAAATAAGACATGTTTGGCTTTTATCTTGCAGCTTGATGTCTTAAGCGTGTTTAGGCATCACAGGTTCTTAGAATCTAAAATGAATTTTTTGTGCTAGCCTAGTGATGTTTCCCCCCCCCCCTTCTATAGAAAAGACTCATCAAGAAGAGTTCCTAGATAACTCTCAGTATGTGGGTGATGTGGCAAGGCGAGTCCATTGCGTGAGACTTGCTTGTCACAGACAGAACACGATTACATTTTATGTAGATGTAAATATCCATTCTGTGAGACTAGCAGTACTATACCTTTAGATAGAAAAAACATGCTGGAAAAATGCAGAACATAGACATGGCATTTCACAAATCCTTATATTTAGTGTTATATCCTAACACTACAGTTTTGTGTTCAGCAAGTTTCTTGCACACCTAACTTGGTGATTATTGCATATATTAATGGAAGTATACTTTAGCTTTCTTCACAGTTGGGGGAGTTAGTATACTGACAAAAAACTGCCTGTGTTCAGCTGGTTTAGATTTTGTTATCAGGAAAAGGGTACTGAGGCAGTTAGTATATGCAGTGTTTATTTCAGAATTAAAATGATAACGACGTTGTTTTGATATCTTCTAAACTCCTGACAAACTTAGTTTCTAAAGCATTTACCTGATGTTCCAGCTTTTTATGAATAGATAAGCAGGGGTTGTCAAAGCTTTCTTTATAGCGGGAACCGTAAGGAGTGAGACATTAGGTTGGGAGTAATTAATCTGCAAGCAGTATTTGTTCGAGAGCTGATGGTAAAGTAACTTCTTTGTGAATCTATGTGCATCTTGCTATGTATTTTGAAGGGAGGTTAACTTGTTCATTGCTGCTACTGATAGGCTTGGAATCCTGCTGCGGAAGACCAGTGTTTTGACAGGTGTCACAGGCTGGGTCAGAAGCATAATGTTGTTATTACTAAGGTGAGTTGAGAGACGATCTGTTTGAACAGTTTTCTGGTTATGAATAAATAAATAATTTTCCAGAAAGCTTTACTGTATTTTTAAAAGAATTGTGGCAACATATGTCTCACCATTAAACTTAAATTGTGGTGTGATTTTTGAAGTGTGGATTTTCAATTGTAAGATTTCATTAAATGTAACCTATGTCCTGTGAAATAATAATTTTAGAAATTAGATGTCCCTGTTGAGCTAGCGGGAGTGACTAAGATGCGGTAGTATATTGCTGTTGCCAAGCATGGTTATTACAGTTTATTATCTTGAAGGTAGGTAGAATGCTACTGCTTTTGTCACTATCGCATTTGTCATAGCAGCTTGTTTAGCTGCAGAAGAGCAGCTGGTCTGTCTCATTAATATGCAGTCACAAAAATATTACTTTGGAAATTGAAGACAGGTTCTCTTCCAATATAAGTAGCAAAGAAGACATACATATTCTTCAAATAAGTGGTTTTTGTTTTAAAAAAAAAAAAAGGCAAAAAAATTTTAAAATTCTAAATCTTTCCCTCCATCTGCTTTGCAACCCTTCCCTCTTGTGTTTTCTTCACAAAGTAGTAACAAAATAATGTAACTGTGCTTTAGGGTACTCAGCTTTTTAACTTCCCCCCCCAAAGTACCTCAATTTCTCATCTTAAACTTTTTTTTTTTTTTTAAGAATCCCTTCATTTCACTGGGGCTTTTTTTTTGTATTTCAGTTCATTGTGAAGGACTCAGTGGAAGAAAATATGCTGAAAATTCAAAACAAGAAGAGGGAACTTGCAGCAGGAGCCTTTGCTACCAAAAAGCCTTCAGCAAGTGAAGTAAAACAAACCAAAATTAATGAAATTAAGGCTCTAATTGATTTGTAACTCAAAACTGTGGTATTTTGAGTAAATAAGATATTTAACGTTCTAGTTAATATTGCTGTTATATGTCTCATGCTGACTTTTAGTTTTGCTGTCATTGTGGTCAAAACATAATGCTTCAAATAAATTATAAAAACTAATTTGTCCCTAAATGTTAGTTTAGAAATGCACAACCTTGTTTTGCACCCCTGAAATCTTTCCAGTGTTCATTCTTCGAAATGTTGCTTATTATGACATCTGGATTGTTTCAGAATAGGTGGTCAGTGATCACTTCATAAGGAATTCTAACTTTCACAGACTATGTTCAAAAATGGTATTTAATTCAAAATTTAAATTTTTTTTTTTTTTTTTTACTATTTCTGAATAACACACAGGTGCAACAGGGAGGTCCTCTGTTGATTACTTCCCAGGAGCTAGTAAAAATGAAGTACTTAAATTTGTAAAACACTTTCTTTTAATATTTTTCTTCCCTTAAACAGAATTCCACTGTTTTTTGTAAAAGTAAAGGTTTTGTGATTTGGATAAAATGCTACAATTATAGGCTTGTATTGATGACATGCTTTCTAATAATTTCTATACACATGTTGAACAGTAAGACTGTGCTATATGCAAGGTAGAATATGACCCACTCGCTTATCAGTGAATCAGTTAGCCCTTGCAAAATAAATTAAACAAATTATTTTAATAAATAGCTGCCAGCTTTCTAACAGTTTTCTTGCACTGCTAAGTGCTTTTCCAATCCCATATATATGTCTTAATGGAATGGTGATCTGCATACATCTTGATTAATAGAGGAAGAATTTGGTAAACTACTCACGTTCATGTACCGCAAAGTAATAAATAGCACTGAAGAATCTCAGTTGAGTATTTGTTGAATATTCTTGTTTGTTCCTTCTATCTCTTCCCATTTGATTCCGGTCTTAATAGTTTTCTGTTGTGTTTTCTTAACACTATGCTGTTTTCCCTGTAACACTCAGAATTGGAGGCAGAGATTGCTATCTTTAGGTCCTGTTTGCATTCTACATTTAGATTCAGAAAGTGTATTTGGCAGCAGAGAAATGGAATCTGATCTGCATCTAACACCAATTTCACGTTTTCTTATGTCTCAGAATACCAGCCAGCTGATTATAAGATGAATTGCAAACATAGGAAATAATTGAAAAAACTACGAAATAAAGGGAAGATGCTTGGAGAAACAGTGAGCCAATGGAAGGAGGGAGAAAAGAATTAAAAGTATGTAAGCTAACAAGATGATACAGTTTTTGGGGAGCCAGCATCTTAGCTGTGGAAAAAAGTGTGGTGTAAGTCTGTTAGAGAAAGAATTAATAAGACATGAATGAGAGAAGGTAGCGTAAACCCCAGTAACTGGTTGTCACTGGAAAGTTGAAAAAGGAACAAGAAAACGGAGCGACATCTGATTGATTTCCCCCCAACCCTCACATACAATTTGTGCAAGTTAAACTTTCTTCTGGGTTTTTGTGTTTCAGTTTCTGATGTTTAGAGATAATCTGGAGAAATAATTCATGATTATGAATGACAGATTTGGCTTTGTTGTCATTCTTACCATTTTCCAAGTTAAAATTCCATGAGGAAGTCAACTACATCATTACTTGTGTTAAAATACGCTGACATTTTGCAGAGTGGCTGAGTTATGATTATGAAAGCAATTACATATATCATTTTTCCTCTACTAGATGATTGTTTTCATGTTCTAAAGCCAAATGAAAACTTACTCAAATTAGTACTAATCTGTCTGGCTAGTTAAGGTCTCTCCCAAGAAAGCCATTAATGTATCCAAGAGAACAGTTGAAGGTCAAAGCTGAGAGCAGAAAAGTCCTGTCTGATTTGATGGAGCTATTCAGTTATTCAGGTGGTTAAAAACCATAGTGTTCTGGTGGTTTGGGGTTTCTTTTTGCTTTTCATGATCTGTATGTAGTCTGTGGCTATTGGTATTATCTTTCTTGGAGTTCTAAGGGTATGTTCTGTGGCATATTCTAGAAATTAATTTTTAAAATTAGAAACTTATTTTTTAACTTTCAAAGACTGAGTTAGAAGTCTGTCATTCTGATGTGGTGTTTTGGTTTGGTTTTTTTTACCCCCTACATAAAATAAAGATGTAAATGGAAAAACACACCCACTCCTAAACTTTTAAAGTTGTCACCATTTAAGGAACACCTTAGATTCTATGCTTTTTAAAGGCAAGTGGAGTGCCAGTACTTGAGTCGCTATGATTCTTTTGAATAACAATGTTTTGAGTATAGTGCTTTAATTCAGTTACTGCTTTGAGTACCTGCTGTTTAGAGTAGAAAATTGTTTGGTGTATCAAGTGAGACTATTACAAGGGATAAAAAGGGATCTCTTTTTCTGCAAATGCTGCTTGCAGTAATTATGAAGGAAACAGTGGCAGATAATGACATAAAGGTCATTTTATTGAAAATAAGCTGCATAGAGTTTGGTATAGATATCATGCCTTTTGCTTTCCTGAGGCTGTGGGTAAACACTTGACCGTAGTATGAGTCACAGAGGCTAGGACAGAATGTTTTTATAGGTTTTCTTTCTTTACTAACTGTATTTGTTAACCCCAGACATGCAGGTTTTCATCTTATTCGGCATCTCTCCTTATCCTGTGTTAATGTTACAAAACTTACATGCTAAAACAAATTTTCAGGTTTCAGTCTTCAGGTCTCATGCTTTTACACTTCCAGTTCTTTCCAACTAAGCTTAAAAAGTAGTAACGTGCGTATTCTGTAGTACAAATACAGACAAGGGGAGCAAAGTTAAGACTGTTTAGCTGTTTTCAAAAGACTATTTTATCATTTTCCAGAGAGTATTTTGTGAGCATGCAGAATGCCAATATTTATACTTGTTGGCTAAAGAATACTTCTGTCACCACAGATTGTAACTAATAATCCCTCCTGCTTTCACACAAGTTCAAATTTATCTGTTACAAAAACCCAACACAGCAAAAGAAAAACCCACACAAGAAAGGGCTAGTTACAACTGGGGGTTCAGATGCTTTGTACTTTTAAATAGCTACAAGCTACTTTGGTCTGGACCTCAGCTTTAGCATTTTTGCTAAATGGTGACCAAGGAACCTTAGAGCAATTAAGTAGTAAAAACAAGTTAAGACAAACTAACTCTCATACTTACATCTTCTGCTTTACCAGCAAACGGTGAGAGCTTGTTGACTGTTTATTTTTTTTCTAGGCTAAAAGTTTAGCACCATTACTAGCTTCCTGCCAAAATCCTCCTTTATTAGGAAATAATATTTTTTCAGTGTTTCTGGACTAGTACACAGCAAAGACAGAACAGGAAGTAATTTGGCTAAAGGATGGATCTGAAACTTAGTACAGGTAACAGCCAATCTGTCTGTCTTCAGCATGCTTTTGTTATTGTGGTATTTTTACTGCTTTTTCCATGCATCTTAGATTACAATCTGTAGCCTGAGGGGGGGGGGGCAGGAAACAGTGCTTTCTTTTATTCTCTGCACACATGAAAAGAGTAGTAGGTATAGTTACTTAAGAAGCTATTTAGTCTTTTCTTGCCAAAATAACAACATCACCATTTTGTTTAAAAACAAGTTCACAGTGTACAGGGCTTACATTAGGGATGATGTTTCTTCAGTCACCAAAAGAAAGATTCCCTCTTCCCAAGCTCCATGTTTCTTATGTGAGCAGCTTCAGCAGATACTTCCTCCACTGCCATCCTATACTTGTTAGCTTGCCCTAAGGGGAGTGGCCCTAAACAGCTCCCTGGCAAATGACTATATACTCTAAATAATTACAGAACTAAAAGCTGGACATTTGCTAGTGATAGCTAGAGTAACATCAGCAAAGCTTAAGGGTTATACCTGTTGAATGTTTTGGACTGCTTCAGAGCTCCCTTTTTTTTTTAATTGCTCAAGAGTTTAGGGAAGCCAGAAATGCATGACAACTTTTTATTTTTGTATCAAGTGCAATATTGCAAGTAACAGATAAAACTCGGTTCACTAGTCCCATAGTATACAGAACTGAAAAATGCATTCTGCCATGCTGTAGGCACTGTGCGTAAGAACCTGGTCAAAACTTCAGTGCAATTGTGACTGGAAGAGCAAAGCAGTGCTAATACTGTTACATCTGTATGTATCCCAGTGTCATCAGTACATTTATGGTAAAGCAGAATGGCTACCACTCTAGTGTACGAGCAATCCCATGAATTAGATTTTACATCTAAAACAGCAAGCAAAGGAATCATAGCTAATCACCTTAATGAGGTGAGGTAACAAACCCAGTTTCAAGGAATATGTTGAGCCAATTGATCACAACAGAAGAAAATTTAAACTGAAAATACCTGGTTTTATCTAGTAGGGAGAATTGGATATTGGGCAGTTACAGGCGGCCCAAGGAATTCTGCTTCCTAGCTTTTGCTCAGTCTTCATCTGTAGCACTGCAGAGGCCTTCAGCCAAGAAGTTTTTCATCAAGCTACTAGCAAGTGTAACTGACCACCATCTACACCTTTCTAGCTGTTAGTTCTGGAACAAGTCCTTGCATCACCACTGTTTGAGACAGGCATTTCTACTGAAGGTAGGTATCAAGTTTCTTCTTGATGTTGTCAAAGGAATCCACTCCCATATAGTCAGCTTGGCCCTGTTCCCACCGTTCCTTGCGTTCTTCTGAAGATACAGTTGGTAGTGGTGGTGATGGTGCTGATACTGATATGTGGGACACTGCCTCTGTAACCTCTGTCTAAAAGGAAAGGCAGAGTAAAAATATAGAAATACTTTGCATAGCTAGTGAGCAACAGGCCATAAAATGGGACAACAAAGTAGACGTTCTCATGCGCAGCAGCAAGCATTGCCAAGGGGCAGGGATTGTGCAGCTTTCCTAGCAAAATAACAAAGCAGAGTTACAAAAGTTAGCAGGGATTTAAAAAAAAAAAAAAGAAGAAAAGTTTAAGTTCTTCATACCTCTCTCCAGAAGCCACAAGAGAAAGCCAGAGTATAGACCAAGCCCGATAGCTGCAAATAGTTCATTATAAAGATGTAAGATTAACAAGAGAGCACATATTAAGAGGTCAGTAACTTTGGTCTTAGAAAGGTTGAGAACTTAAACTGGCCCATGTACTAAGCTAAGACTATAAAGTCTGCAGTCAGATATGTGTGAATGAGAACTAGAGTTAGAAGCATTACTTTGGCTTTGATGAGTATCAGGATTCATCCCTGCCAGGCTATGTAAGTATTCATTCTCTAGTTATCCTAGGCTCGCCTAAGTTTGTTTCACCATGCAAGATCTGTATGTACATACTGCATGCTGAACTGGGGTTCTTCTGGTTGAGAACCTGATTAGCCGCAACACATTAAGAGTTAGGGCCCTTCTCTGTATATGTTAAAGTTATTACAGTATAATTTTTGGTGCACCATTAGTTACATTGGTTTAGGCAAGCACACAGGTACTCTCAAGACCACTATAGCATGCTCCTCTTCTGTCATATTATTTATTTCAAGATTAAAAAGAACAAACCCAAAACACTCTGCATCCCACAAACTAAACCACACACATGCTTTGCCTTGGACAGAGGGAAGGGAAATCAGTCGAATGGTAAAGAACCTGTCATCCATACTTTCTACAGTTTCTACAAGAATATTAAACCACATACCATGTTTACACCTGTAGTAGTTTCTTTAACGATTCCATGCTGTTCTAGTAATGGTAAAACATTAGCTATATAGGTATCCCACCACATGTTGAGGAATTCTGGGTGAACTATTTTAGGGTCATCCATACTGCCTTTTATGCTTTTTGTTCTGGAGTCATATGTATAGTTCCACGGCTTTGTGCTTCCCAGGAAATGCACCACTTTAGTATTTGCACCAAACCTGTTGGATAGAAAAAGTTAGAACCCATAGTTTGTGCAGGTGTCTAGAAAACAAGAATTTTGACTGGCAGACATTTTTTTTTAAACCTGCAGTTTCTGTAGGTGTCCAGAAAACACAAATATGAATATATTTAGGAGGCTAAACACTAAACAATCAAACTGCCAATGCCTACTGGGACTGAAAGCGGCACTATGCAAGAGAAAGTGCAAACCACTAGTCAGAATACAGCCAAAACCTAATGGTCTGGGCTATTTAAGTACTTACAGCCAACAAAAGTCTTTAGGTAGAGTGACGTCCATAGCTCAGGAGAGAGCAGTCTCAAGCAGCCGTTGCAATCGGAACTGGTTTTAAAAGTGAAAAAGATTCTACTCCAGAGTCAGTGATCCACATAGTTAGGCATTAGAAGCATTATGTAGAGAAAGGTCAGCTTTAGAGTCACCCTTTCAGTTTACAGCCCTATAGAAAAGGATCATTGGAAGGCTCTGCTGCAGGCAGACTGTGTCCCTGAAAAATAGTAGCTTTGTATAACCTAGGCATTTCGGAGGACTTCTGATTTTAGCACAGCAGGGTCTTGCTAGACAACCAACATATTTTCTAAATAAATTTAGTTTAGCAGTGGGTGGGTTTTGTGGTAGCAGGGAGGTTTTTTTGTTTGTTTGCTTCTTTTTAAAAAGTATTTTAACTCCATTTTCATATGGACTTTTAGATCTGTCCCAAATGCTACCAGTATATTCTTTTGCATTAAGAGCGTAGATGAGAGGCACCTCTTTTGAAGTGAAGAGCTTAGAGACAGTATTCATTCCATTCTTCTGTGGTTCCAGAACTAGAGTTCAGCTCAAGCCAGTTTTGTGAACAAGCAATACCAGTCTCTCTAGTAACAGCAACTGTCTCACCTAGTTCAGTTTGCATCACATGTTAGGATTTCTTAATATAATTAAAATGCATAACAATGGCAAACTAATTTGTCTAACATTTTGTTAAGCACACGCTGGTCATTTTGACCAGGACTCAGATGTTTAAGGAGTTTCCATACAGAGGCTACGTAGGTGTGTTCCAAAAACTAGAATACTCAAAACAAGGCAGTGTACATTTGCAGGGAGCAGGGTGGGTCTGTAGTAGTACAAGATCCTCGACTGTATTTCAATATTCATGTTCAATATTTTGAACAAAACTGATCTTATTGCAGAATGAAAACCTATACGTGTGTGAAACAAGGTTAACTATTTACACTAATTGCAAGAAAAAAAAAAGTCTGTCTTCAAGAGGTCAGTTCCTGGGCTTTAACTTTAAACTCTGTATGTCAAGATTTAGCATAAGAGGACTACCTGTGTTTTATTAGCTGTCACAGCACTAACAGGCTGTTTTCCTTCATCTTAGGCTGCTGTTCTGAGGAAACTTGACATTCTCTAAAAAAGCCAAGGCCTTCTAAACTAGAGAATGGCTAAGAAGCATTATGTATGTTACACTTGCTGCAAATGGAGAAATGTATTCTTAGTATTTTGTCCACTTAAGGCCTGTACAACAGTTGACAGATGCCAAGCTTCTACAATGTTTTCAGTATCTGTTTTCTAGATACTTTCTAGATCTGCAATACTTTCTTTTGACATTTGAGCTCAACTGTTAGGAAGCTTTATGTCCACACTGGCCTCAGCAACTAATCTGTCTTTCCCCATCTCCCAGGGAAGTTAGAGAGCATTTGTCATGAATTGGCATTTTCCTTTGGAAAAAGGATTACTGAGACTGCTGTGAAATCTAGTCTCGCTGTACAAAGCTGCGAAAAAACTTAGCTATTGATGTCAGTAGGTTTAAATTTCACTTTATTCCAACTGCTGATTATCAGGAGTGTAGCTGCTGATCTAACCAAGGGAAATTGTTCCACCTATTGAGCAGGGCACTCTACTTAAAAGGGCTGCGCTTCCAGCATTCTACTTTTGAAGGTTTGCTGAATTCAGTTAGGCAATTGATTCAATCAGTTAAATGGAATTTTTGTCAGGAGTCCTCAAATCCAATTAGTCTTTTGTGGCAACAAGGTCATTTGTAAATTTAAGGTCATGTGACTAACACCCAGCCAGCCATGGAAAGAGGACATACTTTACAATAGATGTTAGCTTATCAAATGCTATCCAACTACTTAGTCATTCTTAGGCTTGCATATATTTCTTTAAATAAGCGTTCCACTTTTAGCACAACAGGATTTCAAATGGTATTCTGATCACAAGACATAGTTTGATCTTGAGCCAGCAACAGTCCTGCTTATGCTAGCTGCCGCTTCAGACACTAGTAACCTGATGTCATTCAGAGATCAGATTGGTTTTATGCAATTGGTACCCCCCCACACCCCAACTTTTGCGGCTCTTATTAAGAGTTTCTGTGTAAGATTTCACCTTCCCATGCTTCCCCCCACTTCCTCCTGTGTTTATTGTAACACTGAGTGACCCTGCCACTGACATACCATTTACTCACATGCCAAATCCAATACTGCTAGCTAGGGAAGATAGTTGTTTTCCTTACACAGGAAACATGCAATAGTATGGTGGTTGGCTGTAGTCTTTGTTCCGTCTTGTTATTACTTAAGGAACTGTCTGAGATCTGGAAAGACTGTTGGGAGAGAATTCTAGCTTTATACAAGTCTTCATTCACTACGTTTATTTGAATGGTATAGGTTGATTAGATGAACTGTAAATACTGGTTAAATACCTTAAATAATTTGAGTGAGGAAAAGGGCAAGTACCTAGGTGGGAATATGGGAATAATACCACCAGTGACATGCTGAAGTTTAGCTCAGGCGGATTCAAGAGCTACTGCCTTTGGTTAGAGCAGTAATAGTATCCCATACTGGAGTAGTCATTCTTCCTTTTCCAAGTGGCATGTCAAATGTGCTTATTCTAAATCCACTTAAGCGTTACCACCAGGGATGAGAGGTTTAAGCTACAGATACAGCTTTCTCTCTGCATTTATCATGAGAAGATTCATTTAACTTTTTTTTTTTTAAAGAGAGGAAACTATTATACCTTCTTTTAGTGACAATAATGGCCTCCCTTTAGAAAAAGCTGTGAAAGTTCACATTGTGCCTCTGTTACAAGAAATTAGTTTATATAAGCTCTGAAAGACTTACAATTTTGAACTTACGCTTTAAATGCTGGAAGGTAGGAATATACAGAAGTACTGCTCAAATTATAAATAAATGGTAGATGTTTGCTTATGTCTGTTGTTGCCCAGCTGCTGAAGAAGGTGTTTAATAACCCTTGATCTGCACCTGAAAGAGAAAGCATGAATAGGCTACAAGCATCAGATAGCTGTTTTAGGATCTTTTTCAATCGCTTCACTAATTAAGAGTCAGTAATGCAGTTGTCACTCCAGTAGGAGTTTGGCACAGAACACTAGAGTTCTACTTGTGAACAACCCTGTAAACCTTGCAGCCTTTGAAAATCAAAAAAAAATGCAGGGAATGAAAAAAGATAGTATGCATGGGGTTACTTTTGCTAAAAGATAGCAAGCTGCTCACAAACCCTGCCATTCAGTTTCTTTTACAGCTTAAGTTCAAGCTGCTTAAAGCAGCAAGAAACAGGACTTGAGAACTGAGTTCTGTTCAGCTTCAGGAAAGCTGAAGCTCAGAAGATCCAAGTGCCAACAATTAGTTTTATTACTTATGCTTACGGATGCACGACCAACATCTCAATGCCACATTTAGGCTATCAGTGGTCCTCTAGACCAGCAGCCCTGAATGCCTCTTCTTACACTGTTGTAAGGAACACACATTTAGTGGGTGGTGACAACTCTACTAAAACCTCATCAAATCCCTTAACAGGCAACAGGCATTCCCAGTTCTGTACTAAAAAAGCTGCTGACCCCTAAGTGAGGATAACTTTGTTATGGCCAGACCTACTGCATTGGGAGGTGTCACCTCAGTTTGCAAGCGGAGGTTGTAACGAGGTCAAATGAGTCTGAAGTTGTTTGGTATGTCAATAGTAGAGTAGCAAAAAAAAAAAAGCCTCTGTCCTAAAGCAGACTAGTTTCTCAGCAGCTGCTGAAAAGTAAAAACTTAGTTATATCCATTCATTCTTTATTGCAGTGAATATACATAATCTTTAAGTGCTAATTGTTCCTCTTATGAATGAGATTGAAGGACATCTCAGCTTTTGTTTGCTGTCTTCCCTTCACCTGTAACTGCATTCACAAGTAACATTGCTAAAGAGTAGGTAAATGGATAGCTTAGTTAGAAAAGAGACTTTTATTTTTCTAAAGCACTCAGTGTCTGCTGGCTGAGAAAGGGGTTTTTTTTAATGGGCTTATGATTAGATTTAGGGCAGTACTAAGGTTTACACCCTCACTGATGTTTGAGCAGAATTTGCCTTTTGCAACTGAAGTATCTAGACACTGGGCATAAACTTAGATGTACAGACAGTACACCGACAAATATAAATTCTAAGTATCCTGTTACAGCTGTCAGCATACATGCAGATTGCAGAGTGAGAAATTCCCTAGAGACTCAGTCCAGTAATTTCAAACCTCTGACTTGCCTCTCAACTCAAAGGAAAGCATTTTTGAAGAAGTTGTGCCCATCACAAGAGAACAGAGTCAAAGGCGGCAGACAAGTCCCCTGCTCTTTACTCAGCTATGTTTCATTTTAACTTCTAACATAATGCTGTGTTAAGCATGCGTCATGCGCTATCTCAACAGTAAGGCTATCTAAAAGAGAAGAAAGTCTGGGATGCCCTCTCAGAACAGATAGCTCGTAACTGAAAGGGCAGCAACAATGTATTTAACTTGGACTCTCAGATCATTTTACATACTCTGCTTTTTTGTCAGATTGCATGCATTTGTGCCAAAGCAGCCACCGAAAGCAGCATTTGGCTGCCCTCATTCAGATTTCAACAGTAGTCTTGTTGTATAAACTGAACCTTAGACATAAGGTGAAGGAATCAGGCAGTAGTTACATTAGCTACATACCTACACATACAGCCTTGCTGCGTGATATCTTTATTTGTAAAAAGCAACTATTTTAAATCCCAGGCTAAAGAGCCAGAGGATTGTTGAAGCGATAGCAGTGTTCTTAAGGTGTAAGTCCTACAGATTTCTTTTAAAACCAAACTTTTTCCCCCTCCACTACTTTTAGATGGTATCTAAAATTATTGCATGACATATTCCTTATTATTGAGAAAGGTGAAGTTGAAATAGACAAAGTACTTGTCTACATAAGCAGCTATCACTACCATTTCTGGACAACAGCATTACATGGGAAGCATTTGTCTGCTGTTACAAACATGAAATACTCTGGAAAGCTTGCATTCCCTAGTTACTGCTGCTGCTGCAGATGGGGTGCTTAGAGCTTGACTTCAGTTACGCATAGCTTGGTAGCTTGTTGAGTTTGCATCCCTATGCCCTTCACAAGTGTTTCTCTTATAAAAGATTTCCTAGAAACTTTTATTGCTGCCTACATCAATTTAAGTTTAAATCCCCTTTCTCCCCACCAAGTGCATGAGCTCAGTAGCAGCTTACACAGGTAGTATAAGTCTCCATGGTCTCATTATTCAGATCAGTGCTACCATTTAATAAAAATTGAATAAATTTTAATGCTGCAGTACAAATTGCAGTTCAGAAATTTGGTACCTAAACCATTAACCCACCATTTTTGCTGTTAAGACCTGCAACAATTGCTTCATGTTCAGGACATGGAGGAAGTTTCACCATTGTGTGGCTTTAGCTTTCAAGTCAGAAAGTGTATTGTGGAAGCAGTTCTATTCTTTTAAAGGACAGGCGCCTTAGACCTAGAAGCTGGTGTCTGCTAGCAGTTGAGCACAAAGCTCAGAGGAAGCAATCACCAAGTCTCAGATGTTCCTGGAGCTACTCAACAGTCAGTTTGCACAAAGATGTGGGTTTGGGGTTTTTTTTTTGAGTGGGGTTTGTTTTGGTTTTTTTGTTGTTTTTTTTAATGCAACAATTCAGTACCATGCTACAGCTTTTGCCATAGCTGGTGGTGAATTTACACCCAACACTTGAGAGCACTCCCAGAGCTACCAACCTTTTACCTTGTCAGTAGCTAGGTACAGACAGACCCACCCTTCATTACACTGCAGTACTCGTTTTCACTTGAGTTTAATTCATGTGGTAGCATTAAGCATGCAACTGCAACTAGCGTTCCAGAGGCAGCCACACAGAGGAGGCATTATTCTGCAACTAGGAATGACATCTAGAATTTTTACCTTTTTACAAAGTACCGAAAGGTAAGTCAACAGGCTGGCTAATTACCTTCTATTAAGAGTTCTATTTTATGATCTTATCAGTTACACTTTTTTACCACAGTAGTTACATAATGAAATTTAGTGACAGGAGACAGTGATAGCCATTCTGAAGCAGTGTGCTTTTACTGCAATGGTAGTAGATCTAGGAGACTTATAGGACAGCAGAACTTGGCTTCTCTTAAGCTTAAATCTGGCACAGTGGCTGATCCCAGGTGACCTACAGTGGGAAACAGCCATGGCTACGTGCACTTGTTATTGGGAAAGAGATTGTCACCAGCCTATAATGACAGGTAGCTATCACAGCCACATGAAGAGATAGTTGCATCTTCAAATGTTCGTTTCTCTGAAGCAGCACACAAATTGATCAGTACTATTTTTTCCACAGCCACTTGAGTCAGCATAGAACATTCAAGCCTTGAGTGGTAGGAATGCACGAAGCATAGTACTGCAGTTTCATTTGCTAATGCACGTACTGTGCTTGCTACATCTTAAGACTTTTTGTTACACGATTCTACATTGCTAATGCTTCCAGCTGCTGGTTTGGAGGCCAAACTCTTAGTTTTTCTATTTAATGAAGTCTGAAAAAAAAAAATAGCCTCTACTGCAAGAAGGATGTATTTTTTGTGTAGTTACACCACATTCAGAATTCTGTCATACAGACATAAGTAGTTACTGAGCCATCCCAACCACCATTACCAATTTGGGTCTAACGTATATTGAAATACAAATTAATAACATACCATCAAAGCTGCCTTTCTCTGTGGCAAACTGTAACAGCTGATTGTATGTTTCAATGGAAGGTCGGTAAACAAAAACTCCAGAATTAAAACAGTCAGGCCAGCCTGGATCTGGTGCTGCAGACAGCTCTTCTCTCTCAAAAAGCTCATCAATATTTGACAAAACCTAGTTGTAAAGGGGGTAAAAAAAATGTTTTCTGTTTTTTAGGTTAGGCATTGGGGTATCAGTTTTAATGGATTTTGACATCCACCTTAAGACATGAAAGAAAGTTCTTATAGCAATGCTTTTGTCTTACAGAAGACAATACTTTATGGAGATAGTCCCCACAGTCTACATTAGAATTTAGATAATAAAAGGCACATACATTTGTACAGTTATTAGTCCAAATAGCAAAAAGACCTCTATTACCCCTCCTCTTGAAAAAAGCCAACCCCTCCTCCCCCCAAACAACAAAACCAAGACCAACCCACAGAAAAAAAAAGTCCAACAACCCCCACACCATGTCATTAAGAGGTACCATGAGACAACCACTTACCATTGTGTCTGCATCCATGAAAACACATTTTGAAAACTGCGTCAGTTCCCAGCAGTGAAGCTTTGTTAGTGTAACACCCAGCTCGGGTCTTTTCATTAATGCCAAGTGTGCTGAATCCCCACTATCCAAGACGTTTACCAGTATGACTTCATCGAAGACTTTTTCCAGCACTCTCCTGAGGAAGGAGCCAATTGCCAAGATTTAGTTCTATTGTTATTCCAGCACCAAACCATGTGGCAGATTCCATAAAGAACTGGAATAACAGGAAACCCAGCAGTACTTCTTACATCATCCGTAAGAATTGACTGCATGTGTTGGAATGCACAAGTACACCTGCCTGCCTCAGTTTCAAGTTTGTAATGGGCACGTTTTGGGGAACAAAGAAGTCTGTCTGGGTTTTTATTTTTTTCTTCCATAAACAGGGCTTTAGCTGACATTGCTACCAAGTCCAGTAGGTCATGGCTATGTAGTACAAACTTTCTACACAGATTTTTTTCAGCCAGGCTCTGATTTTTGGCAAGTTAACAGTCTACTTTGAGCAGGCAATTAAGAAATGGGAACTGTTAGAGTAGCTCGAGCAGGACAGTAGCTGAATCCTAAACAGTTGAATGCAATAGTTATGACAACACCGTTCTAGATTTGTGACTGTTAGGGACATCTGACTAGACCCAGTTGCTAAAACTTTCTTCATCCCACAAAGTTTTAAAGACTCAATCACAACTGTAGGTACAACAGTGTTTTGACCCAGTATCACATTTACCCAAGGCTGACAAAGTTCAGACAGCATAGTAAAATCTTGTGGCAAATATCCAACCTTTGCTTTACCACCAGTAAAGCATTACCATTAGTTCAAGAGAGGTTAAGGCGTTCGTGCTGCTTAAAATACGAAGCATCTGTAAAGTCTCTCTCTTCTACACCGCATCTTGAATGCTCAGCAATTATCAGTACAATTTGAGTCACAGAGGTTGCAAATGAGTTTTAGAACTCTGCCTTGCAAGGCTTGCTTTATGCTGACAGTTTGGTATAGACAGTCGCTTCTGAACTTGGGGCATGCCTTGTTAGTGGATACCGAGTGAGAAATGCAAGTTCCAGTTACACTACTGGGTAGGTATCGCTGGTCTAAGGGCATAGTACTAACTGACTTGCACTAGCACATAAGCACATTTATGATTCATCTTGACAGACCACACTCACCTAGTAGGCTAGAATGGATGTTCCTATACATCACATCTTTATACTGAAAAAGCCATTTAGCTGCCAAGAGACTCCAGGGAGTCACTCTGTTTTCTGGAGCCACTTCTTTACTGTCTATAAATTGAGATATCTTTTCAGAAGAACTTTCTCATGTAGAGAATCTTGACCTATCATCTGTAGTTCATGTAGCTGTTAATTGGGTTTTTTACTTTCCTGTTACATGCGAGAAGAGCACCCAGTCTGCTCCATACTGAGACTGTTCTAGAGAGGCTGCAGGAACCAGTTGCCTATTAATTTCATTTGTTGTACGGTCATGACCTCATTAGATGACTCTGTTGATTTGACATAGTTGGTGCTACTTTAGTTCTGCAAATTTTATCATGAGAAGAAAATGACATTTGAAGTGTCTGCTGTATTTCAAGAGAGCTTCTGTTACGTTATCTCAACCTGGTATGCTTCTGCAAGACAAATAAATACCAATCCCCTACTCCCACCTCTGCATGCATACGCAGCACTAATGAACACACAGGCAATATCATATTGTTGGATAGTTCTAAGTAGGACTACGAATGAGCAAAGATCCAATTGAAATATCAGTACCAAGTCACAGTTTAGTGCTCTCGCTACAGAGTATTTGTTAACTTATCATATGGAAGAAAAAAGAAACAACAAAAAAAGTGTCATGTTTGAAGAACTTACAGAATTCCAGATAGTAAAAGTTGAATTCTGCTAAGCTTAGCTGTTAAGCTTCCAGAGTTTTGGAAGGTTACTATTAACGAATGTAACTTCAATTTTTCAGCCTTCAAATCAGCAGGAACCGTGGTAGTTTGAAGTATAAGTGACCTTACCTCATAAGATCTGAAATCTGAGGAGTTATGAGTACAGTCAGCTTCCTTGTTGTTCTGGACTGTTGCAAGGATGAACCAAGTACCAGTGCTCCTTTCACATAGGAGTCATTTGTGGCTAGAGTCACAAAAGACTGGTCTGGAAGAAATGAACTTGGTCAAGTTAGCATGATCCACTACTTTATTCCAGGACAGATATACTAGAAACCTAGTGTTGTTAGGTAATCATGCTGTGACACCTCCAAGATGTGCCCTTTAATTCTGCATATTTGACCTAACTACATGGCTGAATGAAGCAGGTTAAACTTGCATAGCTGTAATTGCTATTAGTAACTCGACACATGGCAAAATGCAAGGAAAAAACCCAAAATCAAGACTGTTGTAAGAAAAAAAAACCAACACCAACAAACAGTTCTAGTTTGCTCACAGGTTGAGTAAGTCATGCCAAATGTCATAGACAATCCAAAAGGTCTAAAGAGCCTTATTTTGGCCATTATTTTACTATTTTTAAGCTAGAAGTATTAGGAGTCAGTGAGCTTGCATTTGGTCTACAGTTAGCAGAGTTTTGTACAGTTACTCTAGGTTCAGGTCTCAACCTTGAAGTTAGGGCAGTGTAAAACTCACCTTTCATTTTCAATGAAAAAATAAGCATTGAATTAAATCTTGGACAACAGTATTAAGTTTTGCTAGCTCAGGATTTTGCAGATGAGTTGTTCTGCAACCCATGGTTGCAGCTCTATCGCAAGAATGCAAGATTTAAACGGGAAGTAACCCATGACAAGCAACATCATTGCAGCAACAGTTTTTGGTCTTCAAGCAAAAAGAGGTAAGGTTGGATTGTTACTATAATCTTCTGCTCCAGCTGTATCTTAAATAGATTAAGATGGATCACTTTGCCATATACTGCTTATTGAAGCCAGAGAATACAAGCTTCACATTCTTTCAATTGTCATGTTGTTTTAAACTGCCAGGGTGGGACTGACAAAAGCAAACAAGTAACTTCTAAACTTCAGTTCATTGTTAACTATTGCCATGTAGACGGTTAACTATCATCATGTAGTACTCCTTTCCAAGCTACAGCACTTTATAAAGAAGCATGCTCTTCTCTGCTAAACCATTTTTAACACCATCAACAAGACAGTTTCTTCCTAAGAATTTTGGGAATAGATTTTCACATTCAAGTTTATTTTAGCTACTCTTATTTCTTTTCTTTACAGAAATTATTAACTAGGTTTGATCGGTATTGGGAGTGAGGGTCCCGGGCGCTTACAAGTTTACTATCAAGTCCAGTAGTAAGATTAAAATACTGACTCCTCTGGTTTCAGAGAGATTGTTGTTTGGTACAACTCCTCAGCCCATGAGACAGTTATCATCAGTATCTTTTTAACTTAGTATCATCTTAACAGTCAACAACAGATAGTCATGTACCATAATTGTCTATAAGCTCTGCAGATCTGGTTTGCAAGCTCTACAGACCAGCTACAACCTTCTATTTTGCTTAGCAGCAAAGTCAACTAGTCCCAAGGGATTTAGATTATCGTGGTTAATTACAAAGTTCAAAAAAGCTTCTACAATGCCAGGAATAAAGTTAAGGGGTTTTTTTCCCCATTTCACTTTAGCTACAAATTTGTAATAGTTCAGATAATTCAGCAAATCTACAGAACAATTCTCTGTTTCTTTGAAGCTTTACAAATGGCAAGTGTGTAGCATTTTAAGTAGCACGGGCATCCTCCTAGCAGGGCCGAATTTTTAATTTGCGTGTTACTCCTCAACTACTCAATAAATAGAAGCCTGCCACTCTATGCTGACAGACAGCTCGCTAAAAATCCAGTGTAGATAAAGTGGGATTGTGCCCAACATCTATCTGAATATTGGTTTGCTCCCCCACCACCAGCGTAAGACTAATTCTTGAAGTGACCTTGCCACTGAAAGATTAATTTTTTTCATCGCACTGTTAGCAGGTATACTTCTATCATGTCTCCTCATCTTACTGTAACTGAGTATTCACACACAGAGATCTTAGAAAAATAAAGTCAATTTATTGATGGAGTAAAGGCTAAGCAGCCCCCTATTACATCATTAACTACTGTAGAAGACTTTATGACTTCCTGACAGGAGAAGGATACTGGCAACTCGTAGAGCATCCAAGTCAGTACAGCTTTCCAAAGTTTTGAATAAACTATGTTCTATTTCATACCATCTGTAAAGTACATTCACACATGTTGTTATGTATGAGGAGCCCACACTACAATCTGGGCAAGACCAGTTGCTGCTTAATATGGAAGCTACATCTGCAAGAGACTAATTCCACCTAAGCCACAAGTATTTCACTTGTGTGGGTCTCCATTCCCATCCCCTCCTCCCTGCTCTGTAACCGTTTCCTCCACAGTAGGTCACACACACAGCAGTCACTGTTATGCCTGAAGCACACTGAACTATTAGTGACAGCGTGGCTGCAAAAACAAAGAGAATGTGAGGCAGTTGCACGGCTTCACAATTGATTTATCCAGGCATAACTGAACCACTTTAGAGACACCTTTGGCTGCCCAGTTCACAGGCTATCGTATCTGCACGCCAAAGTCTTCACACTAGCCCTGACACACCAAAGGGCATCCTGCAAGTCTGTGCTCGGAGCAATCTTTCATCTGACGGTGTGCAGGAGGGGGCTAGAGTACTCGCCTCAGATGTTTTAAAACTTCCCCCAGAAGCGTTTTCATAGGCGCAGCCAGAGTTCACAGGTGATTCTCTGTTTCCCTGTTCTGTGAGTTAGGTGCTAGTAAATCTGATTTTTTGAGTACAGGGTTCCTGAAGAGACAGGAGCATCTAATCAACACGTGCATCAGGAGGCAGAGCCCAGAATTCCTGCAACCTTCTAGATCTGTGAAACCAACTCCACCGACAGCTTCAGGTAAGGTAAGAATTGGGGGGGAAAGTCCGGAAGAAAAAAAAAAGCCAGGCACACTCGGACAGGTGGTAAGGAATTGCTCGTCGTAAAGTACCAAAACGCACAGAAGTTACGCCCTCTCTTTAGCGTTTCAGGGGAGGGAGCGGTTTTCT